TCTGGTTTTCCAGGGTCCTCCACAGCTTGAAGCTCCAACACAGCCCGATCTGCATTTGGGTCTGTTTGAATAGCCAACCTGGCATGTTGTACCTGGGTACCATCCATCAAAACGTATCCAGTGCTCATCAAAGGTGAAGGGCCCATCAACGTCATAGTGCGAAAAGGGGGAACCAGAGGACCAAAGCCTGCTCGATGCCACCGTTTCGTCTTGACTGTGACCTGGGCTCCAATCGGCAACAACGGCTTGACCGGGACGCCAACCACCTGCAACTGCGCATGAAGTCGTTCTTGACCAATCCACCGCGCAATGCCTGGCCAGTACTTCTCCCCAAGGCCACTGAACTTCACTCTCAATTCGCCCGTTGCTCGGGCCCTCATCACCACCCGTCATGGTCTGGTATAATCCCATCCTTTGACACCAAGCTTGAAACTGTTTTGACAAAAAGGATGTTTCCCGGTCAGTGTGAATCCTCAAAGGAGCAACACCCATCGCCCGGTAACGACAGTAGAGCTTGGAGGCGACCTTGATGACATCTTCTCGGTGTCTGGACCGCAAGGGCTCAACCAAGGTGAGGTTCTGGACACCAACTGGGTCTGCCAGGTCCTTCACATGATCCATCCACTTCTGATTCAACGTTTTGACCTCGTCATCAGTCGCTTTCTCCACCGGCTCGTCCTCCTCTGCCTCAAGCTTAGGCAATGTGTCATCCTCCTCCACATCTGCAGGACCTTTGGGATCACCTTCCAAGGGGATGCGAGGAATGGCAATGGTGGACACCATCATGTACTTGGACTTCTCGCCAGTGCCAACATCCTCACCAACTGGCATTGGTCCAACAATGTCCATGGTCAGGCAATAGCTCGCCCGATCTCCCGCCGTGCGACGGTGATGTCCATCAGAGCCCATCATCTCCAAGCACCGTCTGCAATCCCTTCTGTAGGGTCGGTGCTGATTCTGCACATGACGCTTCCATGCGCTCAGGTCCATCTTCTTCACCTCCATCTGCTCGGCCATCTCCTTGATGAGGTGTGCACGGATCTTCAAGGACTCCTGGATCGCTGCCACCAAGCCTGGAGACCACGCCGCCCATGTCTTTGAGCATCTGATGCGATCCTGAAGCTCTGGTCCAACGCCTTCGGTGGATCCACCTCCTCAAAGACCATTCAACTGCCCCATTCCAGGCAGATTCGTGACCAAACTGGTCGGTTTTCTCCTTTCATGACCCGTTCGTCCTTGATCAAAGGACACCAACTCCATGTTGTGCTCCTCCACCAAAGCTCGAATCTCGGGGAACTCCAAAAAGGAAGGAAGTGCTCGTCCTTCTTCTTCAGGCAGGTAGGATTCAGGGTCTTGAGGGGTTTCAAACAAGAATCCAGTCTCGTAGCCCTGCTCTCCCCTCACCTGCTCCGATTTCAGCCACAAGCCCACCTGCTTCAAAAGGAGGCATGTGTCGTTTTCCACAAGTTCAACCTCCGTGGGATCCAGCCCATCAAGGCCATATCGCTGAGCTCCACGGCCACGTACTTGGCGAGGTCCAGGAGGCCCGTCACGTAGACGTGAAACGGACCGACAAGGTGGCCCACCCAAAATCAGCTTGATAAGGCCCTTGTTGGCCAGCCCCCACAAGTAGCTCCACACTGCAGGCCTGTGCAAATCGTACTGCGAACCAAGGCAAGTGTCGACGCAAAGCCACTCCAACCCGCCCACATCGCAGTCCTTCCATTTTCTCACATTGGGGCCACAAAAAAGATGAAGGGCCACGCCTTTCTTCTGATGTGCCCGGCGTTGATGCCGATTCCAGGGCAATGCAGCAGGGTCCCAAGGTTCCACAGGGCCCACCAACTTCCTGATGATGCGATCAGGCACCTCCGGGAAATTCTCCTGCCACCACTTGTACTCATTTACATCCACATCCAGCGAAGATCCATCAACCTTCTCCATTTCCTTCAGCAGCAAAAGAGCATCGCCTCGGTCCATGATAGGGCATCCACCTCTAAGAGAACAAGCAATCACTCCTCTGGAAGGGTGGAAGATCCGGCAACCCTTCGACGTCCACTCAATCTTGAAGCCCATCGCCACAAGTCGGTGAAGCGGCACAATCGGCTCCACATCCTCCAAGCTGAGCAGCGTGCGGTGGCTTCTATGGCGATACAACCATGTTGACCCCGAAGCAAGCTCCACCTGCACAGGTTCCAAATCCTTCCTTTCCCAAACCTCAGCTGTCCGCAAGCCATGAGTCGCCCCTCCATCCAAAAGTGCAACCAGTTGATGATCCTCACCTGGACTGTAGTTGATCTGCTTGACCTTCATCGACTTCATTGATCGAAGGGTCTTCAGCAGCACTGTCGCCTCGTCAATCAGCGAGGAAGTAGCGTCAGAGCTCTGACTCCCTGTGGCTCCTCGTCTCCTCCGCTGATGGTGTAGTCGTCTTCAGGGACATAGGGCTCGGCAGTGAAGAAGTTTCGGAGCCATTCCCAACCACCACGTCGTCCTTGGCCTTCTCAGGTGAATCCTTCTCTTTGGAACCGCCCTTGACCTTTGAGACCTTTGGTGTCCTTTGAGAACCTCCATCCTTCTGCCGATAGGGGCAATCTTTCTTCATGTGCCCCTCCGCTGAACATCCATAGCATCGCCCATCCTTGTTGATGTTGTCCCAGCTGTGAGAATACGTGCATGACTCACCACGTCGGCAGCCACCAGTGGTACCCCAAAACTTGCATGCTGGCTTCCCCTTTTCATCCGAACCGCTTCCACCCAAAGCAACTGCCTTCAACTGCCTTCACCGCAGCTGGAGCAGCAGCTCCTGTCGAAGAGCTCGTTGGTGGCACCGTCGTGGATGAAGGTTTCGGCCCAGCCAACATCAAACTCAAATCCTCTGCCTCCGCCTGCAAGAACTCCGCATACTCCTGAACAGCATGGAGTAGAGGTCTTTGATCAACTTGAAGCTCCTGGCGAACCGACGCCAGTCTGTAGGCCACCTGCGCACCTCCTTGTTTCCCCACAGCGTCCGACATCCGTCCAAGGACCTGCATCAAAATCAAGGGGTCCGGGATCGCCACCTTCAGCTCCAAAGCTCTGGACACCCACCTCCTCCAAAGGCGAATCGTCCCAAGCACGTCATGAATCGTTGTGCCAATTCGGACCTCCGTCAGGGACTTCAGAAGTGATGTCCTTTCTGCACCACCACCCGGCTGGAAAACCACAAAGAGCCTGTAGAGGATGGCAACCGTGGACACGTTGCGAGCTCCCACAATGTCGCGTCGAAGAGCTTCAGGAAGGATGCTCAGCAACATCGCAATCCCCCGCTGTTCCAACCTCATGTACCCTGGGTCCACCTCCACCTGCGGCTTCAACCTCAAGCGCTCCAGCGGAGTGGATTCCAACCATCTTCCATAAAAATCCTCTGCAGCTGCCACTGATCTCTCCCACCAGCCCTTCGCTGAAATGCCCAAGTCAGACATCAAGGGGAAGGCCATCGTCATCCAATCTCCAAATTGGAGGGCAGCACCATCCGATCCCACCACAGGCAAAGCAGGAAGTTCAAGGTGACGAAGAGATTCTGAAACAGTTGGACCCACCGTCCCATCAAAACCAATCCGAACTGAAGTCAATCCTGGTGGAGGTTCTGGACCTTGAGGTGCGCCTCGAGCTCGACCATCTGCAGGAGCACCTCCACTTCCATTTGGCACCTTCTGCATGCCCTGTGAACTGGAAGCGGTGTGATAGGACTCCGCCTCGGTCTTCTCGGCCACTCCAAGCTTCTTGACCTCCCTTGCAAAAGCTTCTTCGGCTTCACGCAAGCACTTCGCTTTGAGCTTCTCGACCTCTGCATCGAAGCTCTGCACACCATTGTTGCCGCTGGCTGCACCGTGATCACCTTGGCTGTGAACTGCACGCTGCACCCCATCACTCCAAAAAGGATTCACTCCCTGACTGGCCCCTTGAGCTGGAGTTCCATAGGGATCAAGAACCCGAGGCTCCACTCCGTGCCTGTCAGGCTGCCCACTTCCAGGCGTCTTCAAACCATCATTCCGTCCTGAAACACTTGCAACACGGCCATCAAGATGTCCTGAACGTTCCCCTTCTGCACCACGAGAACCCTGCACAGCGCCAGGCGATGCAAAAAGCAATGGACCCCCTCCGGTGTTAGGAACGACTCCTTGTCTGGCTCCAGAATCGCTTCCCCCAAGAAGAGGACCAAGTAGACCTTGCTGAGGAACTGGACGTCCAAGTGCTTGTTGCAATAGTCCAAAAGAATGCCGAACCGCATCTTGAAGAGCTCCCAACCCCATCGCCTCTGCCCTGGGGTCACTCAGCGCATCTGGCACTGGCTGTGGTCCCGTCACTGGACCCTGCAGCTGCCCCATCAGTTGGCCTTGTTGGCTCGATTGAGCTCTCCCTCCTGCCACTTCCAACCGCTTCACACCTGGCCCAGCTGGAAGGGAAACAGCTCGACCCCTTTCCTCCTCTATCAGCGCATCCAACTTTCTATCGGCTGCACCAACTTCCAGACGTTCTTCACCACGCCGGGGAGGGGGACCGCGAGCTTGATCTTCACGTTGAGGTGCTCCATGTTGCGTGTCCCCCTCCCTCGGCCTCGAATTTCGGCGCCGCATGGTGGACAGCATGGCAACACCCGGGTCAAGTTGGGCTCATAACCTGAGCAACCGGGGAGCCCTGCACTGAAGCAAAGCTCTTTTCTTGAGCCATGTTTTGCAGTTGGTAGATCAGCTGCTATGTGCCATGCTAATCTTCTCTGTATCCCTAAGGACCATGAAGCGCTTCAGCTTCCAATTCCATTTGAAAAAAGGAAAACGGGGTTACAAAAAAGTGTAGTGGTATTTCCATCACCACAGAAACATTTCCGTTTACGATCTGCTGTGGTCTATATAATCCGGCAATTCACATTAAATCTTTGCCGGAGATTTATTATCATTTTGCTACTTGCATATTAGATCATGTTATACTCCTGATCGCGAAGAGTGTTTCACACTCGAATGCGTGTGCATGACTTGACAAGACACCGCCTGTCAGTGGCAGCAGACTTCGACTATGTGCATTTATTTGCATCATTGCTTGCTTGGTTTCTTCGAGTTCAAGACCATGTTTTTGCAAGCCTTCCTTCCAAAGCAATCGCAAAAACAATCGCAGTGTATTGCCCAGACAGGCTCTAAGTCATCCCCTGGCACCAAGCCATCACTTCCTTTGAGGTTTGGAAAGATGTGGAACCTGGCCAACTCGCTGCAGAATTCCAGAAGGACTGCTCTTACACCAGTTATGCCATGTTATACCATTGTTATACCAGTTGTACCAAACAGAATATGGCAATGTCCCTGTCTCCAACCAGCACACTTCACCCAGCATCCTGGAAACCATCGCCGCAGGATCCGCCAGAGGGGCCCACGGACTATGGTCAGATCCTGCAGAAGTTGGAGAAAAATATTTTCCCCGGAGCTCTCAGTACCTCTGGCGAACACGGCGAACGTGAAGCTCATAGGGTTGGACATTTTTCATCGATTTTATGATCTTTCTATTCTGTTTGTGTCCACTCCCTATCTCGCAATTTTTGCTTAAAGCCAGGTTGTGGTTCACAAGCGCTTTATTTCTTGCCTTGAGAATACGACCAACTCTCAAATTTGCGTGCGTTTCTTTCGGGTTGTGCCCAGATGCTGATCCCTGAGTCAGATCGAGAGAGTCTATGGAAAAAAATGAGAAGAAAATTCCAAAAGAATCAAAGGAGTGCCAAAGGAGTGCCATTCTGACTTCACCTCAGCAAGCTGACAGTCACTGACAGTCAATATCAGTTTCCAGGCTGGCAGCACCCGCAGTTCATGGCCTACTATCCCTCAGCCAGTAGCGTTCCTGCCATCCTCAGCGAGACAGTGATTGCCAGCATTGGCTCTGTTGGTCTGCAGTGGAAGTCTAACCCCATCGGCACTGAGCTGGAGGTGGTGGTCATGGACTCTGGCCACGAACTGGGGGGATGGCATCGTTTCATGAATGTTTCATGAACCGAAAATTCAGATCCCTTTGAACACCCAAGTTGGAATCATGTCATGGACAAGGTTGCTTTTCAATAGCTAGTGTTGGGGTGCAGGCAATACCTCCAATGGCTGTTCTTGACGGCTCTAATACGTGTGGTCAGCTTTTATGGGAAGCACTTGTGCCCAATGCCCGAAAAAGTGATTGTATCATTGCATAGTAAAGACTCCTTAGTCCTTAGATTCTTTGCAAGGAGGTGCTCTGTTCAAAAACAAATCATCCTGCAGGAGATCGACATTGCTATTATATAATAACATTTATCTATATTTATAATGTATCTTGTCATTTTGGTTTGCATTCAGTTAAATCCTTGGATGAGCACCTTTGATTTGCTTATGAAGGGGACAAGACTGACGGAAATCAGTTGGCAAAAGCGCTTCGGCAATGCCCCTGTCATCCAAATCCAAGGATTGGGTCGCCAAGTTTCTTGGTTTGGGACCAGCATTTCATCACACTTCTGGCGTGGGTGGTGGCATCATACAAAACACTGCAGGCTAGCCTGGAAGCTTGAGAATCCTTGAGACATTTATTTCTGACTTTGATCTCAGGGATCTGACAGATGCTTTTGTGATCTTTTGTGATCTCTTGTGCCTGTGGGAGATTCAGTAATTAGGGATCACACCACCAGTGATAGGTTCCTTTGTCCGCAGAGGACCAAACTTGTGAATTTCTCGAAAGGTTCAAGGTGTGGACTATTGTTAGACTTGTCCTTTAAAAGATCCCAGACGGTTATCTTCCCAGTGGTAGATTTGGTGCTCTTCGGCAGTCTTCTGTGATTCCTTGTTTAATCTTGTTTATTGAATAATTAAGATTGAAACACATAGTCATCAAATTCCTTCCAGAAAATTGTATGGATCTCATTGATTTCATGATGCGAGCGAGCCAGCTGCTGATGGCCGAAGGCGAAGCGATGCTGAATATGATGATCTGCGCACGAACGCGGATGCATCGCCGGCTGCAGCCAGATCTGCTACTTGCCACACATTAGAAGAGTTTGTATGTTCTTTCGACAATAAAACTGGTAAAACAATATGAGATCATATATAGATATCATTGATATCACGGAAAACCTTGCTGGAATCAATCAGAAAACTGGACCAAACAAATCCTCAAAACGTTGAAAAAGAAAGTGTCCCTGAAGCCATTGCAGCATATTGATGCATTGCATCATATTGCAGCTATTCCGTTTGGTGGCTTATCATGGCTTATCCTTTGGGGTCGCCCAGGTCATGGGAGGATGCTTTTCATCAGGATTCTTCCTCCTTTGCCGTATACATCTCGGATCAAGCGCATTTCAGCGTGGAGACACTTGGAGCTCAGTTGGCATCGCTGCTACCGCTGCGCTGATTTCATGCCGCAGAGTAGACTGGGATGCCCAGGGCAGACTGGGATCATACCTGGCCGTGCACAGCATTGTACAACTACAATACGTTCAAAATGGAACAACATGGGAGGCCCATGAACCACATTTTTTGGTCAACGAAGTTTGTCCCATGATTGGAGGTTGAATGTCCCTTCTGGGCACAGCTGTATGTGCATGTTGGCAATACTCAGCAACAGCTTTGCATAGCTTTGCAATGTTTCTGTTTTTGATCGAGTTGGATGAGACGTATTTGTTCCGGGAAACTCCTCCATGGTCCATGACTGAGGAAAGCTTGCCGTTTGGCAGGGCTGCGCTGTCGCCGTGTGCCTGCGCGATTGGAAGGAAATTATAGCCTTCATCCGAGCCTTTTGCCTCAAGGGGCTCATCTCTACTCCTAGACAGAGCGGAATGCTGTTGTTGACAGACTCACACAGTGAGTAATTAATAGGGGATCACTCCGTGACTGGATGTCCATCTTCAGTTTGGGATATTGAATGATGTTACTAAAGGTTGTAATGGTTGATTGTAGCCTGTAATTAGCCGCAGATTAGAGTGGCATTCATTGTATTTCATCGTTCTACATCAAGCAAAGGGATTGAGAATCTATACTATAGTTCTCCTATAGTTCTCCATTTCGGCCCAGGTGATGTGAAGGAAGCGATGGAGAAAGACCGTGCCGCAGGCGCGGGCAGTAGCTAGGCAGCTTCCATGGCTGAAATCGTTTACCGAAGCGGAGCATAGCCTAATAGCTGAGCCAAGGGAGACAAAGTCAGTCGCTGCGGAGCTTGGAGGTTTGCGACCAGTGGCATTGGTCTTGACCTATGGATCCACCAACACCTCAGGTGCCTGAGCTCAGCTGTGTTACAGTAGCAATTGGGGATTTGAATGGATTTGAATGGATTTGATGTATTCATATGTAATTATATGTAATTATTCTATATTGGACAGAAATCACAGCAAAACCAATAAAGCACCACAAAGCACAAACAGTGGAGACAAGTCCTAGGGCAATTCCATGCGGGCACTGACTTGAACCATCTTGAACCTGAAAAGTTGCGGCACCCAGGAACCGATGATATAGCCGCCTTTAAGGATTTGGCGAAGGACATTCATGAAAATGTCATGGACATTCTGGGTTCATCATTCTGGAAACCTGATTTGATCGTGCAACAGAGGATAGAGGTATCATTTTGTTGAAGGATCAGCAGACAATTTCGGAAGTTCCGAACACTGCACCAAGTGATGATCCAACATGTTCGTGTCGCCATGTCGCGCCAGGAGGAAGATTTGTGGATTCATGTCGATGCCGCCTACGCTGGCGCTGCTTGGGCGTTGGATGAATTCCGCAAGGATTCGTGGCTTGGATTCCGTTTCCTTTGACCTGGCCTTCAGTATCCTTCAGTTTGCAAAATCCTACAAAAGCAAGAGTCTGTATGAACCTGTATGAATCTGTCAAATATGGTTTTACAGCTGAGAGTCTGTGCCAAGTCGAAGCAAATATTCACCTGTGTACCGTATCCTGTAGAATGCAGAAAAGCTGCTCATCGATCATAAATCATCATAATCATAGAAGATCGGAGCAATCCCAGGCAAGCAGTTAGCGATGTGGTCACCTCAGTGTTTCTTGAATGCAAAGGTGGCTGGTGGCCTCTGCAAACGCCCTTGTAGTACCTTGCAGTAGTTCTCAGATCGCTTTTTGCAGCCCTAGTTTGGCATTTTGTTGGATAGCTCACTGTAAGCCCAGGACGTGACAGTTATGAACTGTTTGAATAGAACTTAGTGTAATCCCATTGACTACGACACAGACTTTACAATGTATCATGCACATTTATCACCCAGGATATCCTTGTAAGTGTCAAGCAAACCAAACTTTTGAGCTGTTCGGAACTGTTTGATGTTTTTTGACCCAGTGGTTTGAATGTGGTTTGCTGAAAGGCTACATGTCATGTTGTTCCACTGTTGCGGTTAGTATCACTATGGTTTGACACAGGATCACTTTGAGATTTTAAGGTCCCAGGTTCGAAGATCAAGGTCAGTGCTGTTGGGTTATCACTAGTTATCACAGTATATCACAGTATATCACAGTTATTATCACAGTCATGACCAAGGAACATGAACGGCTCCAAGTGGTTCCTCTGTGGTTTTGACTCAGCGTTTCTTTGGGTTCGAGATCGCAACCTCTTGTTGGATGTCTTCTCAGCCTCTGGGGTTTTCATGGCAGAAGTGGGGGAGACGCGACTCGCCTCAATCTGTGCAACGAAACTGTGTGGCGATGCGAGTACCAAAGAAAGTGTTTGCAACTTGGAAGACTTGCATTCAATCAGCCGGTTTGGATTGTCATGCGCAGCAAGTTGAGACTGGTGGCAAGAAAATACCGATGCAGATCCATTTTGAAACATGACTTCACCACACGCATCTCTGACCATTCCAGATCACTACCATTTAGGTCAATCTACAATCCAGAGTTCAAGGACCAGATTTGAAGACCTACGCATTTTTGTGTGAGTTTAATACCGATACTGCAGATATCTTTGATATTCAACCATGAAAGCCCGACATGTAACTTTCCTTGGCATTCTGAATCCATGAATCCAAGAAACTATGAATACATTTGACACTGCAGAATTATGCAGAATTCAAGACATTGCTACTGTATCATGACCCTTTACTATGAAGCCATCATCACGTCTTGTGGTTTCCGATGTTTCCGTGGGTATTTCCCGATTTGAATTCTTTCAAAGTATAAATTCTTTTCTGGACGTTTAAAAAACATGGAGGTATTGCTGAGATGACAGGGGGTGGCTGTGGCCGCCCTCGCTAGGTGCCAATGGAGTTTCTGCCAAGCGGATGACTCTTCTTCAGTAGTGCGTTGACAGGACTGGTCAGTTCCTCTTGGCCGACGCTTCCGGGCTTTAAGCCTCTTGTCGAAAGCAACACAGCGCGGGATGACGGGCAAACGAGATTGCTCTCTGGGCAGGCTTTCATTGTTTTGTGCTCACAAAATATTCACAAAGTATTGCGCAACGTACATGCCGACTTGCGAGCAGGACACCACCCGTGGGACACTTGCCAAACGAGCAAAGCAAAAGACCATGTAGCTCGCGGCTCATGGTTCGCAGTGTGAATTGAACAGACATGCAAGACAACTCGGGGCCAGCAAGGCCAGCAAGACTCACAACAGAATCATCACCTGAATTTCAAAAATCATGAAGGTTTCTTCGGTTTCTTCCACAATCTGAGGAATTTGGATGGTTTTTGAGTACTTTGGAACCTCTGGTGTCCGCTCGTACATTCAGCAGGCCATCGACCAGGCATTGATGGCGTGGGGGGGAGTCAAGGGTACTGCAGGGGAGCCAGCCAAGTCTTCCGGAGATTGCATCGCTTGAAATCATTCAAAGTTCACTACAATATACTATACAATTAGTAATTTAATGTAAACTAATGATTGCTCAATATTTCTCATACAAGTTGCACAGCTTTAAACTTTCGGTTGAGTTTGTGACCAGAGTACGGCACCAGAGCATCACTTCAAGTTGAAACTAGATCAGCTAGATCAGCTAGATCTGATTTTCTGATATTTTCTGATGTTTCTTGAATTTTTCTTGATACGTCTTTGAAATCCTTTGGCATTCTCAATCTATCTCAATCTGAAACTGCACCGATCTGTGTCGTCGAGGCCTCGTGGCTTCGATCCAAGATAGAGGAAAGTCCTCTGTTCGAGCAGCCCGTGCAGACCAAGTTCGGCTTAGCAGCTTGTTAAAGTCTTTGAAGCGTTTGAAGTCTGATGGATAGTACATGATAGTACAGTATGTAGTCTGGTAGAGAAATGTGGATATTGTGGATACACTCAAGGATGACGATATGATACTATAGACAATATAGACAATATATAGATATCTAGTCTGTAGATTCACTAGTTTGTATATTATATAAGTATATATATATACAGACAGTATACTAATTAAAGAGTTTCTCACTGCTTGGCAGATCTTGAAGAAACCACTCTCACACTTCGGAGATCCCTTGCGACAGATCCATTGAGGGGTTTTGGCAGCTCTTTGACAACTTATTGCTATTGATTTGGTCTGGCCAACAGTTCAAGCGCAGCTCTAGTATTCTCTGTGCCACATTTGAGCCTTTACAGTAAGATTAATTTTTGCTTCCCAAAGATGCCCACTTTGAGAGGTGTGCGTTCGGAGCGTCAAGGGAGAGGAGACCACACAGCAACTGGCCAAGCACTTGCCCGGACCACAGATGCTCATGCAGCAGCTCTAGAGAAGATAATTAGATTTATATAGATATTAGATATTCAGACTACATAATATATATATATATATATATCGATTAATCGGAGTGTGCAGAACTATTTCATGAGACTTCTGACTCTTCTCCTGTGGTTTTTACCCTGAGATTGCAGCTTGGAGCTCAAACCCAGGTCAGATTTGGGCTACGGCATCGCCCCATCCAAGATTTGCGAAAAAGATGCTTCTTGCTTGCATGCCATCCTCATCCATGGACTGATGGTACATCGTGTCCCTAGTTTGGCCAGTATTACAGTGGTGAAGTACTTTTTGTAATTACTTCACAGGAAGTGCCTTGCATCCGCTGTTCCTGCTATACTGCATCTTCATGGGCTGAACTGTTTGTTAAACTGCTGACACGGCTGAGAAGTGACTTCATGTATCAAATTCCGCCAAGTTTTTTCTTGGAAATACAAATTCAGCTGACGGGATATATCCGGACCATTTTTGAGTCGGTTCGTTCAGGATTGACATCGTCAGTTCATACTGTGAGGCTCAGCATGTTGAGAATCTTCCGTGACTCGTCGCCTGGCTCCGCTATAGGCTTTGCGCATCGCCTTGGGATCTGCTGCCACAACGCAGGCACTTCATCCGAAGCATCCAGCTGGGGCTGTTCAGTGCTGGAAGGTCAGTGGGCAGATATTGAGTTGTATATGATTCTACTAAGTTGTACTAAATTACATTGAATTACCATAAATTACTAATCAAATGTGCCAGCACCTTTCACTATCTTTTCCCAGAGACTCTCCTTGGAAAGCAAAGTTGCATGATCAGAAGCACCAGCACAGGTGGCAGGCATGGTGGCATTCAGAATCCACAAAGTCCACAAAGTCCACGGGGAGGAAAACACATCCCGAGCGGCATCGCGTGGCATTTTGGGCCATTGCAAAGGTCCCAAACTGGAAGGATATTGTGGTGGTAAACTTCCAGTCGCCAGATTCCCCAATGTGCTTTATCTCAACACCATATACATATATATATATAACATCATATTATTTCAAAATTATCTCAACAGAACTGAATGTGCCAAGATGTGCCAAGCTACTGGAAGATGCTGGTAGAGAGTTACAGCGCATCCTGTAGCCGTGAGGCTCATGTCGAGCAGCTGTGGAAGGACATGGTGACTTTTGCTGAGCAACACTGAGCTGCGGCCGGCTGCTTGGGCCGGACATATTGCAACTCAACCAATTGCACCCAGAGTTTTCAGATGTTAGGCCCTCATAGTAGTGTTGGGTGCCTCCAAAAGCAGCAATTTCCTTCGATACAGCTTGAATGCTGCAACAAGATTGAGAAAGATCACCTTTTGGATGCACATAGGATGGAACGGTGGTGGATTTTGGACATGGCAAAGTTTCAGCATAAACATCCAACTCATTTCAGGGGTCCTTTCGACATCCTTTTGACATGTCAACTGGAAACTTGTCCTTTTGATGCCGCCTGACCATGGGACCCACCACAGCTTCATAAAGACAACCTGCGGGCACAAAAATGCGGCAGGAGACCCACCGGAACGGTTGGGTGGCAGACAAGGGATGTTTTGGACAGAGTGTGCAGAGTGTGGTTGATAAATTCGGATATATTTAGTCTATTTTAGTCTTGTCTCTTACGTCGTCTAACTGGTCATGTGCTTGCGTGCTTCGCACGCTGACAGACCCGACGCACAAAATCCTGCCTCAGGTGCAGTTGACTGAACGTGGCTGTCCAAGCCCACGTGTGGCGTCTCCTGCGGAGCATTGGTAATTGATTCCCCAACCCCGCTGGCCCAGAGAAAAAGTCTGCTTTGGTAGAGAGATACATCCTGCAGATCTCCTGCTCTTCATTGAAAGGTGAACAGGTCATACAGGTGCCGTTTATGTGGCCTATCACTTTGTATTTATAAATATAAATCGCACAAAACTCTTCACTGCCAGTACGTCCCAAAACTCTTCACTGCCAGTACGTCCTAGTCATAGATGAAGTGTCGAGGAAGAGTTATCAAGAAACAGTTCAAGAGATAAGGTTTGCGCTTCTATTTGACAAACTGAAGAAAATTATGTGAACATATAGGTTGTCCAACACCTATACTGTTGTATTATACCGTACAACGTCTCGGACTCCAACCTCTTGAACTGGAATCAACCTGTCGCAATGTCTCAATGCAGAAACTAGTAATATATTGTATAATATATTATAATTTATAAAAAAAATAATAATATATTATTATTATTATTTATTATTATTATTTATTATTTATTATATTTATTATTTATTATTAATTATTATTGTTATTTATTATTATTGGATATAATAGATTATATAAATAGATGCTATAATCTTTGGACAACGTGGGTAGTTGATGGGTTAACGTTGGTATTGAGTATTGGCGTCATTTAGGTTGCGTTCTACCACAATGTCCAGCCATTGAAGAAGTACTTATTTGGTTTGGTTCAGAGCTCCCGCAACATTAGTATTTCAGAAACTTACTCAGACTCAGAATGGTTCCATGAGTGCGGAAGCAACGCATTTGCTATGACAATCAAAGATACATGCAATGCTGATGGGCTCAATGGCTTTAACCTGTGAAGTGTTTACCAACAAGTCATGAAAGCAAATCAGCAGCAGAACAAACAACTTCAATGCCATACCCGTCATTTGGTCAAGACTTCATAGGCCACCCAAAGCATCCAAAAACACCTAGATTCAGTTTCGACTGACGAGGAGTCAAGATGGTGTGACATCTACTGAGAAGCTGATTCCCAACGTCCTGGCCTCATCTACAAATTTCGTTCCGATCCTTACGTCATGGCGGCAGTCGGTGTGACTGTGCCGCTACATGGATCCTGTGCTCCAAGTCTTCAGGCGAGGAAGGTCAGGTCGGGGAAGACTCGAGCGGTAAAAACAGAACCCCCTTCTTGAGATGAGCTTGTCGTCCCACAGTTGGGAGAAAATATGATCAGACTACTCAGTGACTACTCATAGTTAATGGCATTTTACATCATTTTACCACTGCCCTGTCTTGAACACTTTGGAGCATTCCTACCACTGTGGTTTTCCATCAAGCAGCAAACTGTCAGAGAGAAAAACTGTCAGAGAGAAGCAATGAGAAGTATTCAAGAAAAAATATCAGGTTCATCACCCATGAGTTGCAAAACTATCTCCAGCCACCGCACTGAGGTGTCAGCTGATTGCATTTGGTGATATTTGGTGTAAAACTAGATTCTTATGGAGCTGCTTCAGGATTAATGATTTGTCCCAAGAATCTAGCCTTCAAGTTCTTTTGACGTTATCTCCAGGCAGCAATCAGGGCCGAACGGCCGAAACTCCGGTTGATTCGGTTGATCTGGTTGATCACCCCGACATACATCATCAGAATCTCAAGTTTCTATATGTTTCTATGAACAATACCTTTCCAAGCACATTTGGCAGGGTAACAAAAGTCTTTGTTAGTTGGGGGATGGTAAATCTAGCTTCTCATCAGAACAAAGGCCCATAAGGCCCGGTCTGAAACAGAGCGGCCTGGCACGGCCAGGAGAAGGCATCATTTGGCACCAAGACGCTGAGACGAAATAGCCATGGCCAGAAGCAATCTGCCATGCATGGAGTGAATGCCATTGCCTGCAGTGCGTTGGGCATGGTTTGCTGGGTGCTCAATCTTCCGGACGCTGAATTTGTTTGACTCCAGTGGATAGTGACCTGGATAGTGTAAGCTTCCTGATGTCAGAGCTAACAGGCAGTTTGGAAGGGGAGAATCCAGCAAAATGATGCAAGAATATGCAAGATATGCCAAGCACGCATAGGCCCATATTCTGTTTGTGGATGAAAATTCAACCCTTGTGGTGCCGAGGTTTGCAGCACCGCAAATCTAGTAGAGGCCATCGCCTGATGATGCGACAGCAGATGGCCAAATCTACACTGGAAACTCGGAAATCAAGGGATGCTCGCAGCAACTTGCAGCGATGACACATCACATTCTCCAAGGCAAAAAGGTTTCCGATGGACACTTCAGAACTCAAGGCTCCAATGTCCATGCTTTGGTCAATGGGTAAAAATCCAAGTGTTCCATACGGTTGCAGCATTACACTTTCCATTACTAGTTCCACTACTACAGTACATTATTATTTTTTAGCCAAGTGTCCCCAGTGTGCGATTGGATGAAATTGCGACATTGATCCACTATTCTGATTGCGTCTCGAGTTTAAGTTTAGAAGTGCAGCAAAAACAGAGTGATTGAGATAACAACTTGGCCATTTACATCCAGTTTGACCAATCCGCTTAGAACTGTAGCCCCAACTGTACCACTCTGTGATTGGCTGAGGAAGCACCTCCGAAGGCATTGGAGACTGATATGACAATGCTGATGTGGAGATGACCATGGTGATGTCTGCCAGCAACCCCGATGTTTAGGTTTTCTACAGTAATGACTAGGTGAAACATGGTGAAACGGATTGGCCTGACAATTGTAGAGGTCTATGTCTTGTCATGTTCAGATTGGTTTGCCAAGCCAGTACCACATTGTGCTATACAGATCGACAATCTTTGTGAAGGAACAGTCAGCGGTCGCAATTGTTTTGGCCTGCTTGCGGTCCTTTCAGACTTCCATGTAAGAGTAGCGCTTCGGGGCATCAGCTAGCAAGTAGCAGTCACAGAACTGTAGGTATCTTCAGGTAAACATGTATCAAATATATTCAAATATATTCTGAAGATGGCTTCAAAATCACCCATTAGTTTTCTTTTGCACGACGTCGCAGAAATCTACTGTCCAGATCGACATTGTACGATTAATAGAATCATGTTGTATTGTATTGCTAAGCTACAGATGTGTAGAGGCCAGGAACATTCAGAGTTTAACTGCAACCCCTACTGTAGTCGTGGGTTTTAACAGAGCACCTGGTTTTAACAGAGCACCTGCTCCTGCAGGTCAAGCAACAACTTTCAGAAGTGAACCTGTCTGGCACGACGATCGTCGCTTCAGTAGAGGCCATGGTGGGATGCTGGGATGAGTGTTTGATGGTGTTTGATTGCTGGTCTATCCACTTCGAGGCCAAAACATGTTCAAAAGTCTTCAGAAGCCCATTAGAAATGTATATAAAACATTATAAAACAACTATATGAAACAAGATCCAAAAAAACATCAAAAAAACATTAAAAACACATCAAAAAAACATCAAAAAAAACATCAAAAGCCAAATTGCAAAGCCATGACCTTCGGCAGGAGGCCAAGAAGGTCATGGCAAAGCTCCTGAGCCTCGAAGGTCGTTTCCACGCCATTGATACAGAGGCAGGTGATTGTGAGGGAATCATGGTGACTAGTGACTGTAGGCCACGCAATATTGGGTAATATTGGGTATATATATATATTATATATATGGGTATATTATATAGGCTGCTTTAAGATGCTTTAAGTATGTTTAGGTTTGAGTGGTGAAAACGATGAAAACGGTGACAGAGAATGAATTGTACGCAGGGTGTCCTTTTTGTCGCTGCCTGTGCGCCAGGTACGGGGCTGGGAACCAACGCTCAGCCCATACTTGCATGGTGAGGCTGGGCTTGAAATGACTGGAATCGAGTGATTGATGGGGTCAGCTGCTGATGTTTCTGAGTGTTTCTGTTACTTCGATCTGAAGTTTTTTCCGAACATGCAGGTGCAGAGGTGACAAAGAGGTGGTTCCTGTTGATGAGATCAACTCCAGGGAATTCCTGGAAGAATGCTTTGCAATAGGCCAATAGGCCAAAGGTAGGCATTGGATTGTAGGTGGAGGTGCTGGGTGCAATTCTATGCAGAAACATCCAGAAATATCGAGTCTTGCTGCCTGGGCAGGTCATTTGTTGGTCTATCTATTGCGGGGATGATGTGGACTTTGGCAATGGACCGCGGATCTTCATTGACAACATGGATGAGGACCCAACTTCCAACTATCTTTCTAGCAGTAGGTTGTGCAGGTTGAGATCTACTGTTCATGTTGTACTTTTTGGTTCAGCACAGATTGTCAATGTATCGCGTCTTATCAAAACAGGTCACTGGCTTGTCTTTCTTGATTGATGATGGCATATGATGGCTAAATATGAATCTCAAGCAGTTGGCATCAAGGAGTGGAACTCTTGTACCAAGGTAACATTTTTAACTAAAGTTTCTGGATATCGCTGCATCCTTGAAGACAATCTGGAAAAGGTGCGAAAACAACAAACCGCAGAAACTCCACAATATTTTGGCGCTTGTTGGCAAGGGGATCTCCACGGAAACTCACAATGTATCAGGATGGCAAGCTGCGAGGCTTGGTGGAATACTTCAAGCCGTCGCGAGGCTGCAGTTGGCGCCGCTTGGGGGCCTCGGCGCCCTCTTGGATGGGTCAGGAGTCAGGATTCAATCGGGTCCTTAATGATCCATGATATGCAGGCACAATGAAATATTATGAAAGAAATGTACAGAATCACAAAAAGGAAAACCATGTCAACTCAGGTCCCTTCAAAATGATTTCAATGATGAAGGCTGCTGAATTTGTTTATCTGAGGTATTTGGAGAATCCTGACGTTCCAAAAGCTGCTCGGTTGTCTTCAGCATGGTGCCCCGCAGCTATCACAGAATGGAGATTTGTGTCTTTCCCATACAGTAGGATCCATGTATGTTATATATGCCAACACTTGGGGTATATTGATGGTAAATGTTATAAATGTTACTATATATAGCATACATGGATCCTATGGGTTTTGCTAATCCAATAGCTGCGGGCAGTAAAGGTCAGCCATGACACGGCTCCACATGGGCTCCGACCCAGCGTTTTGAAGCCGTCCAAGCTGTGAAGCTGTGTGCACCGCTACTATGAGTGCAAAGTACCAAGCGGAACAAAGAGGAACAGCCCGACTTGCCGATGTTAAGGAACATTACTGTATATAAATGAATACTATATATATATATTATAATATTATATATATGCCTTTGCATGAACATCAGTTAATCTTTCAGGTTTTTCAGAACTACTCCTTTGATCGCGCGATGCTTCTGAAGCACAACTGCGACGTGGCTGGGTCTCCCAGAGGCTCAGGTAGTGGGTTCGTAGACCATAGAGAATCAATGAGAATCCATGAGAATCCAGTCTTGCCGAGAGGGCACAGCGTGGCACTTTGCAGCTTGTTTTCCTGGCGAACGCTCTTCGTCGTTGTCCATGTCGGTTTCATCAAACCTGAAACCACAGATGCTTTCAGACATGTAGAACTGGCATGATACCGATGATACTTGTAGGATGCGTTGGGCGTTGGACTGGTTTTCTTAATGAGATGCTGAGGCAGGATTTGCTGGAGACACTATGTGCGCAAGCCCAGAGTGAGTTGGTCGGATGGAAAATGATAGAAAGGTGTAGAGTGACAACCATGGCAATCTACGGCCAAATCAAGTGCATTTTGAAGTGGTGAAGCAAATCTACATGTGGAATTCATGATACGAATAGATAGTGTAGAAGTGTGCAGTGGAGCACAAACGCATCATGCCATTGCAGGCAGGTGAAGCAATGATGCGTTGGGAGATGTTGGGAGAGACTCACATGTAGGCAATGCAGCGGAATTGATTATAGAATATTATAGAATTAAGATGAATTAAGAATGGCTTGGCAATTCACGTTCTAAACACCACAGCCAGCTGAAGGGATATGGCACACCTGGACAACTCCGAAGCTGCGGGGGGATACAGTTTGGAGGTGCTGTGGGAAGAGATCAGGGAGACAGCTGGGTACAACGGTCATGATTTCTCCGTTGGCTTGCTGCCAATGGATCGCGTGGTCCCACCGCAGAGAACAGACATCCGAGCAGTGCCAGAATCTATCTACCTTGTTCGCGGAGATGTGACACAGATGTGATGCTGTAATATACTGTAATTATGTTGTCAAACATGTGAAGATGTAAAGGCAAGCGATGTAATGACATCGGTGCCAGCGTCCCAAGTGCAACAGAGGTAAAGTGTATCATGATGGTCATGATGGCACTGCAGATTTATCATTGGTTCGTTGCTTAGTTGCGTCTGCAAATACCATCAAACACCTCTGTTTCTCCAGGCGCTGGGAAAGCGATACCTGGGGAACTGCTGGGGCAAGCGAAGCCTTCAACAGTTCATGAAGGAGGCATGACCTGCACACTGGCTGCGGAGCTATGGCGTGGTAGTGATGCATTCCTGGAAACCATGGGAAACCTATACATAGACCTCAACCATTCTCAACCAATCAAAATCTCATCAAATCTCTACTGCCTGAACAAGAATTCGCACAGATGCCAGAGACTTTGGTATTCCTTGGCCAGGACAATCCAGACAAGTTGGAAGACCCAAGTCTGTTTGTGAACCGAAATTAAAGACCTCAAAACTCAAAACAAAAGGCAATCGTGGCGACGCAATCCCTTCATTATTGTTTTATCCCTTCAATCCGCTTCTCTCGTTTCTATCATACCATCAATCTTCCATGAACGCAGAACTGGATCGTTCTACAAAGCACCAGTTTGACGAAATGATACGAAATGGACAGTGAACAAACTGGTCCGTCATTGGTACTCATTGGTCAGGAAAGAGTCAAAGGCGTCGCCGAACTTCATTTGCACAAGGACCTGGGCACCGCAGTGTAGGGATATGGTGGGATAGTGGGGAGCTGGGACCGCCATAATTTTGAATAGACTGCAGTGACTGCAGCTGGATTATCTGGATTTTATGTTTCAACTCGGCCTGCGACTGCCCAGCCGGAAGAATTGCAGGACTTCCTCAGGTCAGGTGATGTCAGGTGGCATTTGGACAATGATTTTGGCAACTACAGATAACATCAGATAAATATGTCAAGTAAATTCAAGATAGTTCAAGTAATATACAGTATATGGATGTACATGATATATGAATGGCATATGGATGGCATATGGTGACTCAGGCCTGCAATGACCGTGCTTTGTTGCTCATTCCACACAGTGTCACGGGTGAGGACCCACAGGTTCGCAGCCAATGGATCGACTACTCCACCTTTGACACCCTGGTCACCTGGAAAGTCCATGAGGCCGTGGCTAAACACATCTAAACACTGCTAAACATGTTTAAACGAGAGTTTTTTTTGAGGATTGTTCTTGGAGACTCGTGCGAACAAGCAAGAGATTTCACAGAATCATGTAATGATATGTAATGTAATATATTATATCAGTCTTTGATTAAATTGACAACTCAAAGATGCTTCCGTTTTTTTTTCATACGCAGTGGACTGAAACATGAATGTTGATTGCATGTTTCGTTGCTGTCCATGGACACAGATTTTTTTATTGACACTGTGAAATCAGTTTGCCAGATGGTAGAATGATTGTCCAGGAGTATAGCAGTCTCGACTGTGGGCGATATCCCGTCAAAGATTGGACTTTCAAGTAAGCGAATCTAAACGATGTATAGACGATTTTTGGTTTGTTGAGGGCATTGCTAAAGATTGCCATCGAGGCCATTCAAGGAGTCTTAGAATCCAGAGGGAGTTCTGCATTGATCCATTACTATTGCCGTAGGAGCAAGTGTTGCATCCCAGCCGTTTTTAACCATTTTTGAAGTCTTTGAATTTGAATGCCGATACAGCGGCAGGAGCTTCGACGCCGACTGCTTTCATCAAAGATCAGACAGATTCCATCAGCTGGGGTCAATGAAGGTGGGGCAGAGGACGAAGAATCTCTGATGACTTTTGTTTGCTTATGTTTGCCTCTTATTTTAACATATTTAATTGCCTCCGGCAAGCCCGCCGGCCATTGAGAGGTGGCCAAAGGGAGTTTGATGTGCACTCTAGGTGGTTGACCGTATACCAAATGAGTATCACCCCCAGCAAAGTGCGCCAGGCACTATGTATGAGCCTCTGGCTTGACAGCAGACGCTGCATGGAAGGGGACAGGGTGGAAGCGGAGAGAAGTTGTTCCAAGGGAGGTTGATGTGCACGCTAGGTGGAAGCCTGAGAGAGAAGCAGAAGATAAGAGAAGAAGAAGAAGAAGAAGAATAAGAAGAAGAAGAAGAAGAGGAGGAGGAGGAGGAGGAAGAAGAGAGAGAAGAAGAGGAAGAAGAGGAAGACAGAGCCGTAGATCAGAAGCAGCTTGAGTAGCAAGCGCGTGATTGAAGAACCTATGGACCGCATACCAAATTAGTACCGGTCGATCAGTGACTAGTACCTGTAGACGACTGGAGTGCTGTACTGGCACTACCAGTTTAGTGCTTGTGGAAGAACGAAGGAGTATAGAAGTAGGAGGAGTAGTAGGAGTAGAAAGGGTAGTAGGACCTAGTAGGAGTAGTTGTAGGAGTAGTAAAAAGTGTGGGAGTAGTGGTAGTAGTGGTGATAGTAGTAGTGGTAGTAGCCGTGGTAGTAGTCGTGGTAATAGTGGTAGTAGTGGTAGTAGTGGTAGTAGTAGTGGTAGTAGCAGTGGTAGTAGCAGTGGTAGTGGCAGGTAGTAGTAGGTAGTAGTAGCAGGTACTCGTAAGTAGTAGTAGTCGTCGTTGTAGTCGTAGTTGTGGTCGGGTCGTAGTCGTGGTCGTAGTCGCAGTAGTAGTAGTAGTAGTAGTAGTAGTAGTAGTAGTAGTAGTAGTAGTAGTAGTCGTCGTAGTCGTGTCGTAGTCGTAGTCGTAGAGGTCGTAGTGGTCGTAGTGGTCGTAGTAGTCGTAGTAGTCGTAGTTGCAGTAGCAGTAGCAGTGGTAGATTAAGACTAGGATTAGTATTAGTACTAGTACTTAGCCTTAGACTTAGACTTAGCTACTTGGTTGGGGCGAGGGGAGAAGGGGGGGAAGGTCGGGGGTGGACACGAGTCAGACGAAGCAAGAACGCGTAGCAAGAGAACAAAGGAACAAGCACAAACCAAGAACAGAAAAGGAACAGCAAATCAGACACACCAGCAGGCCGGCGGAGTTTATATTTTGAGGGATCCTACCCTACTTGGTCGGTACAAACGGGGCTTTTTATTCTACCAGCAGAAGAATCAACCAATTGCAATTACCCATATCAATTACTCTGAATCCAGCTGAATCGCCTGAGCTCTCCATGCAGCCCTGTCATTGCCCTGACCGGTCTTTTTGTTGCTAGGTGATGCAAAGTTCAAGACCGGGAAGACCGGGAAGACCGGGAAAACCGGGAATCTGCTGAATTTCTACGATGAATTCTGGTGCCCCTATGCGGAAGTTCTGTCCCGCATCGAGGCTGGGCAGCCAAGTGCCACGCTGTGATTGGATTGCGCAATTTTCCAAGGTTTTTTTTGGTAATTCAATGAAACTTCTAGATCAATTTAATATAATTTAATAAGATTATTTAAGTGCACTCAGATTTGAAGTTGCAATGATGCCTATCATGAACACTTATGTTTGTTGTGGATGATTGCATTACGCAGAGATACTTGATGGTTTTGAGTGTTGTATGAAATTGTAGCTATGTTGTGGAGCAACTTGGCAACAAAACAACGCAAAACATTCTTCCTAATCATGTATCTCGTGGCAAATATTTGGAGCAGAGACTCTCAGCGCGCAGGAAAGATTGCTGACAAGCAAACTCGTTGGTGTCGACATCCTTTTACCCTTGTATGCTTGGAGGTCCCTAATGAATACATATCAATTACACTATCATGCTGGACACTGAAACAGTTCCTGAGTGGCTTGCTGGACCATTGCCGAATGTTGTAGTGAGAATCCCCTGAAATGTCTGACTGCACGACAGGAACGAGGTGTGCGGATTGACAGGAACCTCTTGAGCGAGAAGCTCAAGGCCTTTGGTAATGAAGAGCAGGGAAGTATAGCAACATACATTACGGAACAACTTTATTACAATTATGATCAACTCATCTTCAACACACATTTTTTTCACGCCCGGATACTTCAACAGAATCCAAAAGGCAAGAAAAACCTTCCAGACGGCCATCCACCCCGGAACCAGGACGCCGAGGCTGAGTTCAGCCAGGCAAGGGAGAGCATATTATCCTGAAAATCTGTAGCCACGATGCTTCTTGATGCCAACACCTAGATGACGACTTGGATATGATATTTGTAGGATCTGGAGTACGCTGTCAGTGTACCGTCGATCTTTACCAATACTTCTGTAAAATGGTCAAAGCAGCTGAGATCCGCAACACAGAGCTCTCAGAGCGTGCGGTTCAGCGTTGGGGGCAGGCTCGAGAGGCTTTCCTCCAGTACGTTTTTCAGGTCTGGGAGAGGCGGAAGAAAAGTGTGTTGAAGGATGACAAAGGATGTCAATGGTCAGGTAGAACCCAAGGAAGAGTCGGAAGAGTAATGCAGTTGAAACATTGATACAACCGAAAACTTGCTGAATGAATTTCAGATTGGGCCTGTACGAAGTCCTGCTGTGCACAGTGCCGATAGTCAGCGGGAGTCGATAATGCTCGGAACATTCACAGCCACCAAGACGATCACCCGAATGATCCCTTATAACTAATTGATGTTCATTAATTTTCAGATATTTCCGGAAGACACAATCCTGTTTGCGCCGCTGACTTCCCCATAGGCTCTATCCCGAACACGAGGATCTTCACGAGACCCGAGAGATGCTTGGTCATGCAATGGCTATCCGAAGCCCAAAAAGTCATCCAAGAGTGCCGATTGTACCAAACTTACCAAACGTACCCACAGGTCGACTGCTTCCATGTTCATGTTGATTGATAACTAGGTTTTTCATAGCCATCTCTAGCCTAGTGGGTCTAGAAAAGGCAACGCCTCGTCAAGACCAGGACGCGGTGTGTCATAACATGTCATAACATGTTGTAACCACCCCATAATGCCCCTCCCGGTTTTCTTAAGGTCTCAAGGCCTACAAATGTTTGATCCCTTTTCATGAGTGGATTGTTGTCGGAGAGAAATATATTTTTACTCTACGGGAGCAAAGGATAGTATGTAGTAGTGAGAAATAGTGAGAATCTGAGTGAAGCAACGTGAATTGCCTTGGGGGTACTCCAGTTCCTTCAGAATTCGTGAGCTGCACAGCATCAGCTGAAGTTCCGAACACAGGATCCGAATGCACGCATTAATTATATGGATGGATGGATGGATGGATGGATGGATAGATTAATAGTTTTTTAGGTTTTTAGGTTATTATAGGCTTACAATAGATTATATAATAAAATCTAAATCGTAAAAAAAATATAGGTTGATAGATAGATAGATAGATAGACAGACAGTAATGAGATATACAGAAAATGCAAAAATACTGTAGAGATTTTCATGAAGGCGGTCTTCGTCTTGATGATGCGTTGGAGCCTTCCAACGGGCACCAACCATCCGACGGCACTGGAAAGAAATCCATCCCGCAGGGTGTTTGTTCAATCACTCAAACCAATGACGGCAGTGCAGGTGGTTCAGAATTTGCTCTACATTAGGCGATTAGTCTATCTAACTCTATCTTTTTTCTCCAATGTTCAACCAAAATGAATCACTCTGTGAGTCGCTGTTCCCAGAGCTCTCGCACATGGTTGTTTTTATGAGACTTCTGAGCCAAGGAGCTTCAACCCCAACAGCGTGGTGCAAATGAAGCGGGCTGCCCCAGCAAGATCAGCAAGTTGATGAAGTCGTGACTTAAGGAAGTAGTCATCATACCCTCGCTGCAACAGGAATCCATTCTGCAATTCCTTTCTTTGAAGTGTCATAAGTGCTGCAAGTTATTGTGAACCGAGCAGACACATCAGACACCAGTGTCTTCTGACATCTTCTGACACTATCAGCTGCAGTGACTTTGGCTTCACATCGAAGCAGTTGCTGACTGGATAGCGGAACTCATTTTGAAGTAGGACCAGAAAACATGAAATTTTGACGGGGGCTGCCTTAGTTTTCAGATGTTTTCAGGCTGGACAGCGACAGCGATATTGGCATTCTCTGCTTCTGAATTGGAAACGGTTGGTTGTAGGAGTGGAGTAGATGTAGGCAATACTAAGAAATAAGTTTTAGTTTTAGTCAGTCTTTTTTAGACAAAACTGGGCCCACTTCAGCTTTTCATGTTTTCTGCTTTTTCTCGAAAAATTGATCACCTGCAGAGTCTACTTTGCAAAATTATTATACAATTTATCTGATAAAACCCTGCACGAGTGGGATTTAAACTTTGAACAATCACCACAGATCACAGCGGCATGGCATGGCCGGGGCGCGGCCATGCTGTGCATCTCAGGCACTTGCTATACGGCAGAGGTGTGCAGGTACCGGAGAGAGAGAGCGAGAGAGAGAGAGGGGAGTTAGCTTCCGTAGTTGCGTAATGTTGCGTATGTATGCAGGAAAACAATATTGGACAGGCTTCCGAACTATCGATTCCTTGGCAAGCCACATACTCAGGCAATCATGCAGGTGTAAGAAAGATGTGGAAGATATGGTGCCATATATCAATATATATCTGAATCTGATATGTGACGATATGTGGGATAAAACGGGATAAATGCATTGAATTGGACAAAAACCATTCGTTCCATTGGTTCCATTCGTTCCATTTGCATCCCTGTTGAGATGTTTGAGGAGATCGCTGGCCAAGCTGTGGGTGGCCTGGGACTCCCTCCTGTGAAAGTTGGACAGGTGGAAGAAACTTGGACATTGAGTCTGGATGAGTATGGGTTGTATGTTGTATTGCTCAATGTATCATTCTACAGCAAAATAGAACTGAAATGAACTGAATAGGTTAATTAGGCTTCTATTGTTGTGGGATCAAGTAATCACTATGTTTAGATTCTATGTCGGATATATGATATAGTGCTGCATTAATTCTGTGGACGTGGCATGATATGGTGAAGATACTCCGGGATGTTGTGACAAGCAATTGCCCATTTCAAGTTCATGTTCTCTAAAACTTCATAGCAGGTGTCACTGTGTTGTCTGGATTTTCTAGGCAATCTGATTGCCAGAGTACACTGAAGAACCTACAAGAGTGTTCGTTGTGTTTCAGATGCTTTGCGATTCTCTGTGATCATCTGCGATCCCTGCGATGCTCTGCAATACATGGTCCGTTCCAAAGTAGTGCCAGTCAAAACCAAGAGGCAAAACTATCCGACGCGCCGAAAGAGGTAACCCCAATTTGATTTGATCACTAAAACCCACTACTGTGAATCGAAACTTCATTGTTGAACTCTCCTTGTATTCGGCAGCATTGTACAAAGATTCTGTGATGGACTTCATTTTAGCAATCCTCGAAATGAACTGAGGAAAGCACAGGCAATGAAGCCCGCCCTGACCCGTTTTTGGGACTTGAGTAGATGGGAAGTCACAAGCAGGAGTTTCGGAGACGAGCCTCTTAGAACATCAAGAGCCAAGATGCATGTGAAATGTTCTTGCGAGCTTAAAGTGGCAAAACAGTCCCTTCGGCCAGGACAGCGCCCTTTTCAAGAGTTTTGACTTTGTTTTTGCTGGGCCTTTCGATTGTTATGTGCTGGCATGGTTAAATGACCAGTGAGTTCTATCATATATTATCATATCCTGCAAAGTGGATACTTTCTAATTGTGCCTGGTAGAAGATCCTTTCTTTATCTGCATTCCTGGGTCCATGCAGTATCGATTTTCACGTCCAAAGGTTTGTGGGAACCTTTTCCAAACCAAGAATGGTAAGCGCAGTCAAGGATCACACGTCCACAGACCCTGCCTCGATATGTTCAGTGCCTTTGCCATATTTTTTGCAATCACTTTTGCCATCTTTGCAATTTTTTTCGCAAGCCAGGCCATCTTAAAGCTTGCGGGAAAGAATCCAACAGCCCATGCCTTGGAAGGATTTTAACAAATTTCTGACAGGCTAAGTATGGTTAAGTGATATCCAGGTTGATCACGATTTGATTCAGCGTTGGTCATTGAAATGTCAAGGATTTCTCCCTCCCTTTTCCCATGTCTCACTGCCTTGTCGATCAAGAATCTGAATCTGTCGGATTTGCACCACCCGACCAAGGCTGGAAAGACCCTCGCCTGCAGAAGGGGCAGGTGAGTTTTGCTTACGCATTTTGAGGGGCATTAGAGTCAGAGGAAAAACATTAATGCCTTAACTTGGTTTAGATATAACATTGCAATTGGAGTTATATGCTGTTATATTCTGTTGTGATAAGTTATGTTATGATCTTTCCAACTGCGAATGCAGACGGCCCACCCTCAAAGCTGTAGGATGCTTTAGAACTTTAGGCATCTTTAGCCATCTTTAGGCTGTCAGCGTTCAATCCTTGCCTGCCATCAAGGTCCGGCTGTGGAGAAGCTTTCAAGCATATCGGGCAGGAAGGTGCCAATGCTGTCATGATCTGTCATGGACACGTCAAATTTGTTCATGTTTTGTTGATCAGAGCTTAGAGGTCACAGTCACGTTTTAATCATGTATCATGATGTATCATGTAAATATCATGTTCAAAGTGTGCGACTTCCAATCTCAAGTTCTTTTGGCGTGGGCCATGGGGTATGTGCATGTCTTCGTGCTAGCGCAAGGCCTGCGCCAACATGCATGCCAGCATCCAGTTTTGAATTCACATGAGACAGACGCGACTCCTCTGACAAGACATGACAAGACTTTGTAAGTAACAGACTCAGGGCGCAGTTTGGTTTATGCATGCTTTCCTGTGGGACATAATTGGATGCTACAGATATTTGTCCAATCGTCCAAGCCAAGAGGATGGGTTCTGTTTCTTTAAAGTGTTGCGTTATATGCGTTATCATACAGGTCCTGCAGGTACTAGTAGGTTGTTTGGAGATGTTTCGGGTAGTTTGGAGATGTTTGGAGTTTATATGAGTGTATAGCTTGCATTTGGCTTGCAATTGAACAGTAGCAGTGACCACCAGTGTCACCCATGTACCCGTGCAAGGCTGTTTGGGCTTGAGCTACCGCAACGAGGAGTCCAAGATTGGTAAGGCGGAGCATCAAGAGCACCGAGAGAACCGGGGCCCGTCCCATGAGCAGATGCCGCGCTCCCGGACATAGCGGGACAAATTGAAGAAACAGCATCAAACTATATCAAGCCAACATATTTGACTGCCTTGGGCCTTGGGCCCTCAGACCTGGTCTGCCCTTGGAACATCCTTGAAATTGTGGCGATCCGATCTGCCACGCAGGCCATCTCATTCTTGACAAAGCTGGCCGATGCACAGAGCTCATTCTGGCTTGCTGCGGGTGGGATAAAATGAGGATCCGAACAAAGTGATCACAACAGCACAGATCTGACATGGTGGGACTTGGCGTGACCAGCCCCACAAGTATGCGGAAGTCGTTGTAGCAAGTTGAAACAGAGTGAAGTGGGACTTTCCAAGGATAGAATCGCTGACAAGGACAGCCGAGTGCACACATCTTTGCTCCTTGGCAGCAGCTGGCAGTCAGGTTTGGTGCTTTATGACTTTGGGAAATCTCTGTGTGCAGCACCACTTAGAAGAAAAGATTCCTAGATTGTGTTTTTGTGTGTTTCTGCTGTTGTGATGCAGCATAGATCACAGATGGTTTCGAACTTCGAGACCAGGGTTGCCCTGGTGACGGGAAGGGATTATTGTACGATCAATCCATAGAAACAAGTTGACTTGGCCTCAGGCTACTTAGTGCGTCAGGATGATCATTCAGTTTGATGTGATTGCTGACTCCCTGTCTCAAGATGTCAGATTATTGCATGTGTAATTTCGGAAAACAAGGTTGTTCCAAATTCAATGATTCCTCTCCCCACCGCAAGCAGCCGTTGCTATGCCATAGTTTGTTTGCCTAGGCGCTTGACCACTCGAACGGGGAGACTCACATCTCAAAACCCGAATTTACAACAGTTGCCAGCTGTGGAAAAGGATCACTACCAGGCAGGACCTTTTCAGATTGGAATCCATTGAAGATAGCTGTAAAGGACACCGTGTAGGACCCTATTCTTAATGTTCAGTGCAGCCAATCCCAACAGCGTTGCATTTGTTCCATCGATTGAATGATTCGCAGTTAGTTGCAACACACACACACATACACACACACACTGACACACTGTGACACACACTGACACACACTGACACACACACACACAGACTGACAGACTGACAGACTGACAGACTGACAGACTGACAGGCTGACAGACTGACAGACTGACAGACTGACACACTGACAGACTCAGACACTGACACACTGACACACTGACACACTGACACACTGACACACTGACACACTGACACACTGACACACTGACACACTGACACACTCACATACTCACATACTCACATACTCACACATGTTTGAATTTGTTGGTTTGCATTCTGTTCCACCAACTTGCATTGTGCCAGATCCGCAGCGCGGTGATTCCAGCACCTGGAAAAAGCTTTATCATAGCCGATTATGGCTACTTGGATTCACTCCAGATGTTTGCCTGTGTGGGGAAGCACAAAGATGATCAAAGATTGATTCTCAGGTTTTGGCTTGGCAGGCACTTTGGATTGGATATGCTTGGATGTTTTACAGAGGTTTCAGCAACGCCCAATCAGTCTATGGATGCTAAAAGAAGTCTGGGTGCTGCAAGGCCTAACCTAACCCCCTCAGAAAAGTGAATGCACAGTTCCAGTGCGGCTCATTTCTGTCCGCAGGCACAATGGCCATTGATAGTTTTGAACTTTGAAATGCTACCCGAACCGTCAGTCACAATTTAGGACAATTGGATTTACGAGTTCTGGCTCACACCGCTGGATGTCCAGATCTGATCAGAGCTTTGTCGTCAGGCCTGGGCAGCGCCACATTTTTTCTCTTTGAGGGTCAGCAAAAGATATCAGCATGGCACATCACCCAAGGAAAGCGTTGATCAGCCCAACTTATTTGTACAAATGTCCGGCTTTTGCTGCTCTTGCAGTGCTGCACCTCGGATTCAGCGCTGCGACAGGTATTGACTTGCACTCCCACACCGCAGTGCAGATGTGACCCATGGGGGCAGAAAATGTGAGGTGAACAGTGCAGGTTCCGACTCGAAGGGATCAACGGGACATGCGAATCTGCTAGCCATGGTGAATCGGAGCTTCAGGTACCCTCACCTTCAAGAGGCTATCGATGCTGGGAAGATCTCCCTGGAGGCGGAACGACTCAAAAGTTTTTGGGATATCCTGGGACATGATGCAACTTATGCATACTTCTGCAAGGACTGCAGCTCCATGGATTTCTGAAAACAAGGTCTGTAAAATGGGCAATGTCCATTACCTTTTGAATTCCAAAAACCTTCAAACATCGTCTACAAAGATCTTTACATTTGTAGAGAATCTTCGACCTTTTTCCTAACAAAGCAGTCGAGCTGATGCAGAGGCATTCACAACGTCAGGGGCATGAAATTCCATGAAAAAGGTGCGAAAGCCTTTCACTGCCATTCAATTCGATCCATTCAAACCGATTCAAAACGAGCCAGATTTAACATATAATATATCATCATATATCCAATTCGACTTCAATCGCGCTGTTTTCGAGTGCCTCATGAAATCCGAGCCAGGGAGGCGATGAGCGGCCAAGCTTGAAGGACCTCTATCCTGGCGAGCGGCGGGCTGCCAAGGCCAGGAACGTCCTGACCAGCAGGACTGGCAGGTTGATAGGACATGTACAACAAGTATCACTAAGATTCATTAAGTGCTCAGGTCGTCCACAGAACTCGTGGAACTTTATTGAAACTTCATGGGAACTTCATGGAACCATGATGAATTATGTGTGCTTCCTGTGGTTGAAGAGAATTTCTTCGCTGTTGATGAATGCGCAACATCTACGCTGACATGAACACGTTGCTGCTGGCAGTGAATCGAATGCAGAACTACATGGAAATCTGGAACCACTGTATACATCTTGTAGATTCTTGTAGAATATTTTGGAAACTTGCGGAAATATAAATGATATGAAATACAAACACTATAATACAGTATAATAGGCTATAATAGAAAATAATATGAAACGATACAATATGATACAATATAACACAATATCATGTATAATATATAAATATATACAGCAATATATAATCTATAATGTAATTTAAATATTGTTTAATTATATATAAATCATATTATGATATAGTATAATATATTATATATGTTATTCATTTTACTTTACATATAATATATATCAAATATTATATATCATATTCTTTTCTATTATATACTAGATCTTTTAAATTATTGTATTTTTTACAGTTATGTTTATATATAATACCTTATATATAATTATCTATTATATTTTATTTGTTTTAAATATTTTATTTTCTTTGTTTTTTTATATATCAAATATAATTTATCATATACTTTAAGTTAGATATTGTATATTACCTATATATATATTGTATACTATATAGTATATACTATATATATATTATCTATTTTAAATATTTTCAATTTTATTTTAGATATTTTATAATATAATAGATTTTAATTTGCTAGATTAGATATTATATCATATTTTCGTATTAAATATGTATTCTTTCTTGTGTATTATTTATTATATAGTATATAATATTTAATTATTCTCCTATATTATATATTTTGTTTAATATATTATATACTATTTATTGTATATTATATATTATGTATTGAACATTACTTTTTTTAATATATTGTATATATTAATATTATTGTATATTTTCATTTATTTAGCATATATTTTATTTAATCGTTAATACTCAATACAATATAATATGATTAGTTTCCTCTTTCGGCAAACATCGTTTGTTGAGCCACACTTGGCCTGCCGAGGCCGTGAACTTTGGCATCGCCTATGGCCTCACAGGGCAAGGCCTTGCAAAACAGTTGAACTGTAGCCAAGACGAGGTGCGCTTTTTGATTCGGGTAGGGATGAGCACTGGGAGAGGATAATGGCAAGACATGATAACTGCCCCCATTGGTTAAGAACTTTGGGTTAAAAACACCACCCCGAATTAAAGAGCCTCCACTCATTGATGGCAAAAAAGGACAGGGGAATCCGGGAAAAGGAAACAACACATACATTTCGGGCTACTATAAGGTGATCTTCATGGATTGGGGGGCGCCGACTTTTAATTGGGACGGGGACACCACTCATGGGGTTACCCTTTGCGCGCTTCCAAGACTTTTAAAACAAAAAGTAATATGAATCTGGGGGATGATTTTTATTTCCTTAGCGAGATTCGTTTTGGGTTAATTGAACCCATAAGGAATCAAAAAAATAATATCCCCAATTAAAGGTAACAGGAATAATGCTAAACCAGTACCGCAAAAAATTGGATGTAATCAAAGGTAAATGATGGTAAATGTAAGTTTAAATATTTCTAAGTGGATGTGCAGTAAGTTCCATTTTTGCATGCCACACTGCTGGCATCGATACTGAATTGATAGTCAAACCAGAAATCAGTGAAAATTAGCAAATCTGAACCCAAAACGCAGTCATAACCGCAGTGTTGTTCAAGGGTCAAAGGGCACCAATTTGACCTACATGATCCTATATGAATATGTAGCTATGTTTGCATTTTCCTGCCATCGATTTAGAGAAGGTTGTGAAAACGGGGGCCACATTGCTGGGTGCTGGGAAACTGTCACTGGAGAATGTATTCAAATTAAATAATGTCATCCTAAGTGAGTTTTCAGAAGGGCAGTCCGCTGATGGTGTTCCCATCCAGGCCAATGTCATGATTGAGAAGTGGCACGACGCGTATCCGCAGGCTGCAAACCCAAGACCGGAGTATACCGGAGTAAAGAGTAAAGTGCCAGGAAGTTCTCAATGTTTCTGAGGTAGGCCATTCCATGCCTAGACACAGTTCATCCTGCATTTCTTGAGCGGGAGCTTGGCCAGTCGATCTTGGATAACGTCAGTTATAGAGGGACAGACACAAACACAGAACACCGCGGTCGGACATGATTCAAAAACTACACTGGTCACTAGTTCCTGTCTCATCCCTTCTCAACATTAGGACATTGAACATGATTGAACATGCATTATAATTATAAACTTTATAAACGTTTTATCATTGAAGAATTGAACATGCATCCAATTCTGGTTACTATCAGGATTGGAACCATTCATAGAAGGTGTGTCTCTTGCTTCAGAATCTGATTGGGGGTGTTCACGAGGTCGAAAATTGGCAAAGCAGCTAGGCAGCATATCTGGTCACCAACAAGAAGTTGATGGTGATTCAAGTCTTGCGTTGCGGACAATCACAGGGACGTGGGAATACTCTTACTCAAACGCATACTAACTCGCAAAGCTCCCATTTTTCTTTATGATTTATAGTTTGTTTGAAATGTTTGGGTCAACACCAGATTCCTACCAGTAGCTGCTATCTAGGAAAGGACGGACTGGAGTGCGCCTTTAGTTGCCCAGAAACTTCGTGATGGTGAGTGAATCCCATGGTGTCGACATGGTTCCATCCACTGGCAATCACTGGCATATCTAGGCCGCTGAAGATGTCGTGTTATCCGCTTCTACACCACCCAGTCACATATCTATCGTCAAGCGATTTTGTCATATTCTGTCTTGTGTTTAAACATATTAAGCTCCGTGGCAGATTCACAGCGTGGCAGATTGACCAACTGTAACCGACCATGACTTTGAAGGATTATGGAGGATTGGGCTATAGACATAGAGGCTGTTCTATGTTGTTCTAAAGGGTCTTTAAGATCTTCAAGACAAGTGCGGCCCATGAATGATTTTGTCGATCCGTTGCCCAGGCAAAAATGTCACAACAGCTGAGATGGGAGATCTTACAGTTCGCACTTATCGCGGAAGACCCAGGCCAGCTGGATACTGATCTGTTTTCACACGACTCCTCAGTTGTCCAGTCATCATGAGACAGATTCCCGGATCCTTCTAGTGCATTTTTTGCTTATGGTTTATGTATGTTTATGTTCATTTATTAGTCTTGTATGCATCGACACTGTTTCAGGGAGTGTGCAAGAGTGTCCAAGGTCAAGCATGCTTTGGTCCTACACTTTGGTGCGGAAAGCATAATTCATTTGATTGCTTTGGTGGAAGTTCCATTCGGAAGCATCCATGAGTCTTTTGTCTTTGTTTCACAACCACCCTGCCAGGCACTTGTTTGATTTGTCCAAGAAGCCCATATGTGAAGCAACGCCGGTTGCATGGTCGAGGTGCGTGTAGTGGGTTGGGCAGACTCCGACGATCTGAACGGGGTTGGTGATGTGACACGTTTGATGTCGAGCAAATGAAAGAAATCCACAGCTGTTCCATGCTGTTCCTACAGATTCACCGAAAAATTCAACAGTTGGGCTACATCCAATTATATCCAATTGATTCCAATTGTGTACTTTGATGGTCTTTGATGCAGCATCCAGAGTTGTAAGCCTTCAAGCTTTGACATGGAGGGTTCCCATGTCCCGGTGGCATCCTGAGGACTAAAGGAAAGCGAAAGGCATCGAAGCCAAGGCCGAAGCAAAGCGCGTCAAGCCACCTAAGCCGCTGGGGGGATATTCTACTGCACTGCTTAAGCAACGTACTGCTTAGATCTGCTTAGTAATTCATTCGCAAGATTGCAACATAATTAGCCTAGTAGCACAAGTAAATCAAGGGGGATACACCGACACAGGACCGACACAGGCTCACATTCGGAGTTGAACGCATTAGACCAGACGGAAAAATACAGATCAGCGCTGTGAGTCCTGAACTTTTACTCCAAAGTCAAGCGGTCAAGCGGTCAAGCGGTCAAGCGGTCAAGCGGTCATTTTCTAGGCTCTGTGACATGGATTAAGATGATTAAGTCATATAATGTCAAAAGGATTGGCTCAGTGTTAGTTAGCTAGTTTAGCCCCGTGCTACCTGTTCTTCAATCCTTAGCGGGTCGGACACCCGCGGGCACGCCATACGGTTTGCCTTGCTTTGCCTGTCACTTTGCGCTGAACTGACTCGCTCTGGTGCATTGGGATTTTGGCTTGCGCTCTGCTGGATTGACCAACCAGCATCGCCTGTGTCTGCAAGGTCTTGTCTTCATCGTGTTCCTTGCGGTATTTACCATTGTGATCGGGTCCTTGCATGGTCATTGTGATTGTGTACTTCCTGGTTCTCTTGGTCTTCTACCACGGCTACCCCAACGCTGCGCAGGCGACTTCGCCGTCATCGTGCACAAGCTCGTCAAGCGTGGCACTTACATCATACACAGGTTCAGCCCTTGTCTGGTGTGAGGTTGCGTCAAGTGCACACAGTGTTGAGTGGACATCACTCGGCAGACCCTGCTTTTTTACGCAGAATACGCCAAGAGATGGCGCAGCAACAGACGAAGGGTGTAACCCCTTGGCACTGTGTTTGGTGTCGAAAGGACAACAAGGGCATCCATTCCAACTGTGGCTTCTGCGGCACTTACTGGGAGGATTGCGTCGATGTGCCTTCCGCTCCAAAGTCGCCGAGGAGAAAGAGATATCCCTCAGTCCGCAACCAGAGCCAGAGGAGTTATGCCACATACTGGCAAAACGATGCAGAGCCATGGAGAGCATCTACACCAAGGCGAAGTCAACCTTCACCACGACAGCGTGTTACCAAATCTCCAGCACGGCAGCAACCCAAGCAGACGCAGAGTTCCAAGAAGAAGGTACCTCCACCGGAATCGGATTGGGTGTCGCAGAACGAGACGGCCCCATCATCCACGGCTTCAAGTGCGACAGGGACGATGTCAGCGGAAGCACAACAGCTGAGGAACTTAGTCAGCACCATCAAGAAGAGCAACCTCGAGCTCACGCCGGAGATCCAGGCCGAGCTGAACAAGGTGACAGTGATTTCGCCCAAAGATGCATCCAAGCTCATGCAGAGTGCAGTTGCCCGGCTCGACACTGCCAGGGAAAAGCTGCAGAAGGCCAAAACGGCTCGAAGCAATATGCATCGGAATTGGACGAAGTTTCTGGACGATGCCATTCTTCGACTGCAACAGCACAGCGAGAAGTTCAATACGGAGGATGCCAATTTGCTGACCGCCATCGAGAACGCCAGTGTTGCTTTCCAAACAGCACGCTCTCATCTCGAGGAAACCAAGGAGGCTTGCAGAGTTCGACGATGCCATCGCGAACGAAGTGCACGAGGTCAGCGACGAGGAGCTGATGGCCGACACCACCTCCAACGTGGGCAAGGGCATTCAAGAGATGCTTACAAGCCTGACACGGCTTCGAGAGACCACAGACGAGGTCGAAGCATCAGCTCCCAAGAAGCCGCGCACAGAGGAACCCGGTGGTGGCCAAGATGGTGGAAGTACTGCATTGCCCAAAGCCTTGCAGCCTTTTGCGAAGGGGGACAAATAGACCAAAGGGAGATTTGTCGATCCCCTCCAGCTGACACTGGTTTTGAACCGGTGGTTGCTTATTGGACACACTCCATTTTGGAGGATGAGCAGTTCATTGGTCCTTGGGAAGCCTTGGAAAGAGCAGCTCAGTGGAACTTTGAATTGTGCGATTTTGCACGCGATCTCCTCCAGTTTACTTGGTTTCCAACGAAGTTGCATTCAACGACACCTGAACCCGCTTTGGTCAAGTCACGGCAGATCTCGTTTGATGCACCAGTTGAAGTCTATCTCATTGAGAAGCGCGGCCTTTTTAGTTACTATACTATGACTCATGATCAATTGGGGCATTGGCATGAGAAGCCTTGGTCAGCGCGACAGCATGATGGTTCTGACCGGTCCGAAGAGACTTCAGATGCCATCACACCTGAATTGTGCGACGTGATTTTGACTCAGGATGTAGTTCAGTCACGGCACGCCTTGACACACTCCAACAATGTATGTGCTTTTGAGCCACAGCGTCGTGAGGAGTCACTGCTCTCGTCAGTGTTGAGCCCACGAGCTGAAGTGCCTGCACAAGTTCCTCATTCATGTGATGTTCCAGCATTTCATATGCCACCCATGGCAGGTGTGTCTGCAGTTGATGCTATTGAGGCTACTTCAACGTCTTCCTTGACCTCAAATGATCATCCTGCTTCTGATGATGTGCAGATGCAATATCAGAGTTACATGGCCCCTGACCCTGAAAGTTCATGGTATATTGAACTCAAATCATTGTGGCGTGAACATGCTGTACGTGAATTTGAAGATGATAGCAGAGTGATCTATGTTGAAACGTGGTATGTTCATCATCAGAGGCATCCTCGCTGTGAAAGCTCTCGTACAGTCAGGTTAGATCGTTTTGATCATCATTGGCTTGTTGACATCCGTCGCACGTGGGTAGATTGGATTGGTGCAGATGAACCTCTTCACCTTGACATTGTCAGACCTCTTCCTCCTCGTGCTGATGATCAACGTTGCGTAGCGCATATCCTCTTACGCCAAGGAGAGCGTGACCACCATATTGGAGCCGTTTTCACAGCCAGATTCCTGGAAGATCATCACACTCACTTGTTACAACAAGCACTGTCTACACCAGATGAGATGTCCGGTACCAGGGCAGTTGCATTGCTTCGTGTTGAACCCTTTCTAGATCATCGACGATGGATCACTCGTTCTGGTGCAATTCTCTTTGATGAACATGCACTGGACGACATTCCCAATGCTATCAGTATTGTAATTGACATCAAAGTTGAATCTCCTCCAAATGACGATGACGTCACGTCTCTCGCTGCGGTGTATCATCGTCCTCTTCCTGAACAACCAGGCATCGTGGACATTCCGGAAATTGCTCGCCAAGAAGAACCCTTCATTGATCAGATGAATCATGAAGTGCATTCTGACAGTGATTTGAGTGACACCGCATCGTCAGATCATGAGCAGGATCATGGGGATTGGCGTTTTGTTCACGTGTGCCTTTTGGGACGACGCATTTACCATGGGCGTCTGCCTTGGAGGCAACCACAATACATCATGGACTATGCGTCCGAGATGACGGGCATCCCAGTAGATGACCTTGTGCACTTGCACTACGTGCGTCACGGACCTCAAGATTTGAAAGCAGCTGAAGTTGAACCCTTGATCGCTCAGGTCGCTTCAGACCTACCTTTGGGTTCAATACATCGACTTGTCATGCTGGACATCGAATTTCATGAACAGATGCCTGCAACTGACATTTCCGTATCTCGCAGATGTTTGACATTGCCTCGAGTCATCACCCGTGGAGCCCTATTGCGAGCAGCTGGGTTGGATATTTACTGCAGTCGTTCTAAGGAGCGTTGCCTGGTCTGGCTGAACGGTGTTATCATGTCGGCCCAGAGTGTTGCTCCTCATGATTTACATCACGGAGATTTTTTGCGCATTGCAGTACCACCTTGGCCACATGCACCGGCAAGCATTTCCACTCGTGCTTGTGTGAGTCGTATTCGAAGTCAGCCTCGTCGTATGGCATATGCCTCAATGCAATCCCATGCTACAGTGGATCATGAAGATGGAATGACTGATGTCGATGAGCTCATTGCTAGGAACCGACCAGCTTTTCAGGCAGACGAGGATCATGCTGTTCTGTTGCAAAATCCATTGTCTCCTTCATGGCATGGTGCATTGGACTCTCGAAGCCCACAATGTGAGCCTGGCGACAAACTAGATGGTGATCATGAACAACGACGTGATCAAATGAGGCTCATTGGATGCAGAAATGCTGCTCTCCCCACTGCCATCATGGAGCAACACCGTATTGTACACGAGCTCTATGAATTGTACACCCATGAAAGGACTGGCATGCAAGAAGATCTACCCACTGAGTTTGTGGTCATGACATGGTATGCAGATCATCATCGTCGACCTCACAGTGGACTTGGACGTGAAGTACACCTTACCCGTGACTTTACCCAATGGTACCACGATTTGGTCATGGCTTGGCATGAGTGGGTTGATCCCTTTTCCCCACTCCAGTTGTTACTGGTCAGGCCAACTCCTGATGATGGTGATCCTGATATACAAGCACATATTCTTCTTCTTCAGCAGCCTCTTGACGATCACCGTTCCATCATTGTAGGGTTGTCCGACACGGCAGATGATCCTTGGCACCCTCGACTGTTATGTCTTTGTGTGCCTCATCTCCTGACACACAATGTCCTTGCGGGCTACCTTGATCTGGATGGTCTTTGTTCTTTGCACCCCATTCGACACTGGTGCCGCACATGGCAAGGACAGCAAGATGTCACCATGTTGACATCTTTTCAAGTTCAGAATGGTGAACACTTGCTTTTCACCATCCAGCGAGATGTTCCAGAGGTGTTACAAGTGTCAACTTCATCGGCAGCTCCAGCAGATCACCAGGACGAACCTGAAGACATCGAGCTGTCTTTGCTGCAAACATCAGTCAAGCGTACGCAGCTGCTTTTGGATGACCATCTCACAGCTCCGCGTTTTACTGAAGTTGATTGTCAGAAGGTGCTCTTTTTGCGGAACCAACTTTGTCTTGCTGCTCGACTACGTCCAGTTCATGATCGGCATCACATTTGGTGGCATCGTGCCACGTGGCGTCAACTTAGACACATGCCAC